TTTTTTTTTTTTTTTTTTTTTTTTTTTTTTTTGATTGAAAGGGGTATCGACAAGTGTCAAAACAGTTTGAAAGGCAATCAGGTAAGGTTACAGTCTTTGATGTTTCAAAAGACTATGCTGAAGTGGCTTTAGAAAGTGCAGTTTCTGTGGCTTTTTTTGTGCTTACTGACAGTATCGGTGGATCCAACAAGAACAGACTGCAAAATCTTTTTTGGCGATGTTAGCTTGTTTGGATTCATGTAAATGTAGCGTAGGAAGCAGGTTTTTACTTTTCGGGACTGCCTTTCAAAGATTTCTTGTACAACTCAGTCGCTTCGGTCTGAAAATGCAAAGTTTTTTTTCTTTTTTTTTTTTTTTTAACTTTTGAGCTTATTTGACTAAATTGGTTTCTCTTTAAGTTTTTTCTTTTTGAACTGGGCAAGGAAGACTTTTGAATGACAGGGGCTTTCTGAAGGGGTCCGAAAAAATGAAATTCCTTGCCAATATTCGGCAGCAAAAAATGTTTTATCATTTTATAACTTCCAACTTTCCTTACCCTGTCGGTGTTTTTTTTTTTTTAGATGCAGCACAATAGAAAAGTATGTTTTTTTTAACGCTTGAAGTTTTGTATTTACATTCTTACAATTATGAGGGGTATGTATGTTTTTTTTACAACCATATTAGTTAATTTTCCTTTGCTTATTATGGTTCTGTACAGCCAACAGTTTCTTTTAAAAAGTAAAGCTTAATTTACTTCACTTACAAAAACAGTTTCATAACTCATTACAGGAATACAGCCATTTTGTTCTAGGAAACTTCTTTCAGGGTAATGAAGAAGAACAATACTTAGGCACAAGCAAATGAATATTGACTCAGATGGCTAACACTTGTTTCAACTGAGTAAGCCACTCTCTATGAAAATCAAGCACCCAAGTTTTTTTCGAAGGATGACACTAAAGAGTTTTTCTGCTTGGAAATTTCAAGTTGTTACTGTGAAAGGGCAGAGGAAAAACTGACACTTTTCCAGTCAAAATACCTGAAAGAAAATCTTCATTATGAGCTTAATAATTGGAAAAATTTGAATTAGAAAAGGTGAGCAAGTGAATACAAACCTATAGGCTTCATGGCCAAATGAGAAGTCAAAAGAGCTTTTAGCTAAAAACGCAGATAGTTTAAAAAAGTA